AAAGTCAAAGGTCAGCGACCTTTGACCTGACAAGTACAGCGCGACAGCAAGGACACACAACTCGCTCGCTACAGAGCAGTTGCCCGAGTCGTCACTGTATCGAACCGCAACAGCAACAGTAAAACAGTTGGAACCGTATCTCTTCGTATTCCTTGTACTCTTATATAATCTTGTATCTCTTTGCTTTAATCAATCAACTTTGCCCTCACATACTAGCGCAAGGTGGTTCACAACTCTTCATTAAAAACGCTTCCGCTACTACATCAGGTCTACCCAGAGTTCACCCCTGCAAAGATCCTAAGGGCTATTTTTCTCAGCCCAACATGGTATGAGAGCTATCAGGGGGAATTCAACTATCAAGACACCTACAACATCAAAAGACATGGCTACTCAGAAGGAAAGGAGTTCCTCTATTGGTTCTCCCGGCACTACTCTGTTGAATTATATTTGCATATCCTGTTATAACTGCCTACAGCTTGCTAGTGTATAAGTTAAATATTAGGTTCAACTGCTGGTGGTGTACCCTTTTCCCCTTCCTCTCCTTCCTATTTGTACTCCCAACTTCATAATGAAAGCACTCTTTTGGCCAAACTTCTCCCTCCATGATTCTCTTTGCTAAACCTCTCCTAAACCTAAGTACTGCATAATCTCCTACTCCTACTCCACCTCCAGCCTCTGGCCTACAGACAGAGGAGGGTACGGCAACAAGACCCAGGGCAACATCCACCGAGACTCCCGCGAATCAACCTGCAGGCTTCGACTAGAGCATGATGGAGAAGTTTTTCTCCTTCATGTCCTTCTACGAGCAACACCAGCAATCGGCACCTGCGCAGTCACACAACAGCAACAACAACAACGACGTGACTCCAATGAGCCTTGATGGTTCATCCTACGCACGTGGAAATCAACAACAGCAACCTACCTTTGCTCCGTACGAGCCCCAGCGCGGCTCCGTCAGCTTCATGCCACAAACGCAGCCTGCACCTGGACAAGAGAAGACACTAGACGCGCTACAAGTTCAGTCGCAGTTCGCGCACGTCCTAAAGCTGCAGACGACAAGACCTTTCGACGGAAAGGACTTCTTTACCTGGTCATTCGAATTCGAGCTGATGATGGAAGGCGCGCAAATCCTCGGCTTCTTCGACGGATCCCTGCCATACCCAACAAACGGCACACAGTACGAGAAGCAGCAGTACACCTATCAGTCAATGATGGCGTACACAATCCTACTGAGGAATATCACCCCGACTCAGCAACAGAATATACGGTCTTACCGGGGATACGGCAACTCCGCCGAGCTCGCATACAGCCACTTGAAAAGCCAGTACCAAGCAACAGACAGCGTAAATCAGAGTCGACTATTGGCGCAACTGACAATAGTCGAAATGAAACCAGGCGAAAAGGGAATGGCGTATATCAGCCGCTGTCGCGAGTTGCGCGACAAACTCTTTCGATGCGGAGGGTCGATATCTGAAGACGCCTTCGTAACAGTTATCATCGGCGGCCTCGGTCCTCAATGGCGCGCCACAAAAGCCATTCTCCGAGCTCACGGAAGAATCTCCGAAGCAGCACTCTGCGTCGAAATTCACGCCGAGCAACAAGACATGAACCTGCAAGAGGAACGGCACAAGAAGAAAGCATTAGTACCCGAATTCGCGTTTCACACTCAGCGACGCTACAACAACAACAACAACAGCCGACAACAACCAAAGCCCGTACCTCCGTTCTGCCATCTCTGCAAGACGTCAGGACACCCGCGCACACACTGCCCGAATCGACAACAGTCAACACCACCACAGCGACAGCTTCGACCATCAAGCAGCCAAGTTGCCTCCACGCAAGCGAACCCCACAAGTCAACTGCAGTCCTCAACGACATCGCCGTCAACACAATCTGCACAAGGAGCAAGAAATATCGTCGGCTGCATGGCAAGATTGTCAGACTCCTGCATCACCGAGTCACCGCCGCATTACTCACCGGAAGAGCAACTCGACAACAATACACCTCGCCGCGAGTCACTCCAACCGAATCCAACATATGCAGCCATCGCCCAAAGCGAGCCGTCCGGAAAGGACACTTGGTTCTTGGATAGCTGCTGTGGGCAGCATATGTGCTCCTTCGCTCGCTTCGTTCAACGGGAATATCAACTCCAACGCGAAGTCGTCATCACCGTCGCCAACAACCAAAACCTGCGCACATGACGACAAGGAGTGGTTCAACTTCAGTCACGTGAAACAAATGTCATACTGCAGATGTCGAAGGTCTTAATAGCAGAAGGCATCGGCTACAACTTACTCAGCGTTAGTCAACTGATGGCGAAAGGTATCCACCTCGAAGCAGACAGCACCACCCAGGAGTTCAAGCTGTTCCACGGGAAGGGCGGTCTCTACATCGGGAAGGCAGTCCTGAAAAATAATGCCTTCGTCCTCGACTTCGTTCCAGATCTCGGCACCGCAGACAGCGACGGGATCGTCGCCTTCACCTCCTGGACACATCCACCGGATCTCGACCCCGACTTCAGTCCAGAAGGCTTCTGGTATTCACATACCCTTCTTGAAGCAGAAAGAACAAGAGCGTTAGCGACAATTCAACATTCGACAGCAGCAGAGACAACATCGGCAGCAGCAGAGACAACACCGGCAGTAGCAGATACAACATCGGCAGCAGCAGAGACAACACCAGCAGTAGCAGAGACAACATCGGCAGCAGCAGAGACAACAACAGCAGTGGCAACAACGACACCAATCGCTGGTCCTTCAACGGCACCAATCTTCACCGACGATACATCACCAACACCCGCGCAGCAGCTAACACCGACTCAACGAGAAGTCCACCGAAGCGCCAACTTCACCGCCGGTTTCTACTCCAACTCCGACATGTATCGGCGCTCACCCGGACATCGCGCCACCGAAGGAACCTGGCACGCAAGAATGGGTCACCCAAGCAACACGGTGTTAAATAACACGACAAGAGCAGGCGTGCTCGACAAAGACTCTCTACTCCTAACTGACGGCAGAGAACTTCAGCGAGCCCGTGGAACATGCTTCACGTGTCCCGAAGCTGACTTACCGCATCAACCGTTCGCGTCTCACCACAACCCAAGCGCACCAGCTTACGCGCCACTCAAAAAGGTGTACAGCGACATCCTGTACAACCGCGAGCCTGGACAAAACGCGTACAATTACACCATCACCTTCATCGACGCTGCCACACGATACGTCTGGCACCTAAATCTTCCAAGCCGCGACATGGCCTTCGAAGCCTTCGTCGCCTGGCTTCCAGTAGCAGAACGAGAATCAGGCGTCAAACTCAAAAGCTTTCAATCAGATGGAGGGGGAGAATACACCTCACAGAGGTTCAAGGAGTACTTGGCAAAGAGAGGAATCAAGCGACTCATCTCCCTTCCTTACGCCCATCAACAGCAAGGCGTAGCAGAAAGGATGAACAGGACCCTCCAGAACACCATGCGCAAGCTGCTACGTGGCATGCACCTGCCCAACCACCAGTGGCCCGAAGCAATGGACCACGCCGTCATGCTGCACAACTTGCTCTCGTCATCATCGCTCCCGAACAACGCATCACCGCATCTGCTGTGGACAGGAAAACTGGGCAGCACAAAAATGTTGAGAGTCTTCGGCTGCATGGTACAGTACCGGTCCCCATCTGCACGAGCCGGCCGATTCTCCCAACGCGCACAGTGGGGACTACACCTGGGCATCGAAAAACATTACAACGCATGGAAGATCTTCGACGTCGAGACAAAAGAAACAGTAGCAGCACGTGATGTCATCTTCTACGAAAACCTCACCCTCCGGTACTACCTCGCCAACTTGCAAGTAGGAAACCCCGATCGCTCCGATGGTTTTCTTGGCACCCGAGCCTTCGCCTCGGCAGGCGACGAAGCTGATTGGGACGAGCAGAACGTGGAAGGAGCCTCGAAAGAAGCCGGACCCCTCCCTTACTGCTCCGTCGACGTGCCAATGGATGACGAAAATCCACGCGAAAGCATCAACGCCGAAACCTATTTCCACTTCGCCGACAACGGTTACGTTACGCCTGCACAAGTCAACACCAACGAAGCAGAACGTGTAGGACCAAACTTCAACCCTACACCAGAAGCGGGAGACGAAGCAGTTTATCCCGAGGACACATCACTTCCCCGCTACACACAGAGTGGCCTCCAGATACTTGGCCTGGTCACCGCGGTCCACGGCACTGCCATTCCTAAGGAGCCTGCGACAGTTCAGCAGGCTCTGGGGGGGGAACACAAGGAAAAATGGCGCGAAGCCATGGACAAGGAGCTGAAAGCACTGGAGGAACGCAACACCTGGAAGGTTGTCCCTATCGGCGTAGCACGGAACAAGACAGTACTCACCGGGAAGTGGGTCTTCCGCGTGAAAACAAAGGCAGATGACACCATTGATAAATTTAAAGCACGATGGGTCGTACGCGGCTTCGACCAAGAGCACGGACGCGACTTCACCGAAACTTTCGCTCCGGTCAACCGACAAACCTCGCTGCGAATCCTCCTCGTGATCGCCGCCATGAAGAAAAGGAAGCTGCGGCAAATTGACGTCGCCAACGCCTTCCTCTACGCACCCGTCGATGCAGAAATCTTCGTCGAGCTACCGCACGGCTCCAACGGAAAACCTAATCAAGTCTGTCAGCTGCTGAAGTCACTCTACGGTATCAAACAAGCTCCAAGGCTGTGGCAGCAGTACCTACACGCAAGTCTCACTCGCATCGGATTCCGTCAGCTACCTCACGACCAAGGCATGTACCGGCTCACAAAGGGAACCGACTACATCCTGCTAATCGTCTACGTCGACGATTTGCTCTACATCGGCTCAACCGACAGCGTCACTACCTGGTTGGAAGGGGAGTTGCAAAAGGATCTCACACTCACGGTCTCGTCCACCGTCACACAGTACCTCGGCCTAAACATCCAGGAAGAAGAAAATGCGATCTACCTCAGCGCCGCGAAATACGCCGATACCATCGCCAAGCGCTTCGCACTCACGCCGACCGTCATCTCCACGCCATACCGTTACACGGCAGGAAACCACAAGGAAGGCTCCGCTCTACTCAAGCCCGCCGGCATACGCGACTACCAGAGGAAGCTGGGATGCCTCCTCTTCGCAGCTATCACCTGCCGCCCGGACCTATCGTACTCTGCAAGCCAGCTCGCCACCTACCTCAAGAAACCTGAAGCGGAACATCTGGCGGAGCTCGACCGCGCTCTTCACTACCTCGTCAGCACCCCGACGATCGGCCTGACCTACCATAAGAACACGGCTACAACGCCTAAACTAATCGGCTACGTCGACGCCGATCACGCCGGGGACTCTGACAACAGACGCTCACGCACCGGCTACATCTACCGCTTCGAACCTATCGGTCCTATCTCCTGGCAGTCAAGCAAGCAAGAACTAATTGCCCTCTCCTCAGCCGAAGCAGAATACATCGCACTTTGCTCAGCCACCAAGGAAGGACTCTATCTTCGCGAATTGCTAGAAGAAGCAAAATTGGCCCAGTTACCCAGCTTCACCCTGTTTTGCGACAACCAGTCGGCAATTCGCATCGCCAACAAGAACGGCTTCGCGAACAGGTAGAAACACATCGCCCTACGATACTTCTTCGTCAAGGACGAGATCGAGAAAGGAAGACTCGAGCTGTCATACTGCCCCACATCCGAGATGACAGCTGACTACTTGACCAAGAAGCTCGGGAAACAGAAGTTCGAGTACTGCATGCTGCTGACTGGACAGAGCCACGTCACCAGCAGCGACACTCCAGAAGCGAAGGGGAGTGTTGGAAACAATTCACTCTAAACGCCTCTGTCGTGTCGAAACACCAAGTCAAAAGCGAAGCGAAGCATATCGAAACACTGGCGAGTCAACCCTCGGAGGTTGAGCAGTTGCTGGAGGTTACGCGAAAGTCAAAGGTCAGCGACCTTTGACCTAACAAGTACAGCGCGACAGCAAGGACACACAACTGACTCGTTACAGAGCAGTTGCCCGAGTCGTCACTGTATCGAACCGCAACAGCAACAGTAAAACAGTTGGAACCGTATCTCTTCGTATTCCTTGTACTCTTATATAATCTTGTATCTCTTTGCTTTAATCAATCAACTTTGCCCTCACATACTAGCGCAAGGTGGTTCACAACTCTTCATTAAAAACGCTTCCGCTACTACATCAGTTCTACCCAGAGTTCACCCCTGCAAAGATCCTAAGGGCTATTTTTCTCAGCCCAACAGATCGATCGATACACAACAGTGTGCACCCATTTTCTGACGTACAAAGGATGCAGAGCAGCAGCAGCAACACTGCTGCAGCAACCCCTTATTGGGTGAGACCATCCCACCCCGCACCACCTCATCTCCGCATGCAGCAGAGGAACGGCAGCAGCAACACGAACGCACCCGATATAACCGCCATTTTTTGCCAGGCCTTCAGCCACACACCCAGCAGCGCCGACAGCAGCGGCCCTGAAGCATACCCCGCAGTATACGCCAAATTAAACATCCCCACTGCAAGCGCCACGTCAGACAAGCCTTCCCCAGCTGCCGCCCGCTTGTCCAACGCCTGGATTATACACGGCAGGCTGGGGAACTCCACTAACGAGTACGCCACTCCTGTGAGAGCTATTAACGGGTATAAAACGTGCAGCTGGCATGACACACCCGGGATGACCAGGAGAGGGAGCGTCGCGGCGAGTGTGGCGGCCCCGAGCGTGATTGTAGCGGGAGGACCCAGTTTCCGGATGAGGTAACCACCGAAGAGGAGAGAGAAGAGCGCGTAAGAAGCGCCGTTGATTCCCATGGAAATGCCGATCTCGGATGGGGAGTGGTCGCAGGTGTTATCTAGAAAGAACGAGACGGTGACCTCTAGGAGCCCGTTGGAGAGGGTTTGCAGGAAGGTGAGGGCGAGCAGGGTGGCAGAGGTGCCGTCTGTGAGCATCGTGGCGAAGAGACGGAGCGCTGACAGCCGTTGATTCGGGCGGTGTTGCTTGGGTTTGGTGGGATCGACGGCTGAGGGCTGCTGGGTGGAGTGGTGGGTTGTGGAGGGGTGAGGAGCGGTGTGTTTGTGCTTCTGCTTCTGGTGGTGCTGCAGCTGCTGCTCCTGCCACGCTTGGACTTTTGCTGATGGAGTGATTAGCTGCTGCTGGGGTGTCACCTGCTGCTGCTGCTGGTGCTGGCTCATTTGGTGTTGCTGTTGCGGTTGCTCCTCGTTTTGCTCTATCTGCTGCGTCTGTCCCGGGCCTCCCACGCCTAGAACCCCGATTTCCACATGCCCTCTTTCCAAGGATCCCATGGGAGATAGGGGCACGTCTGCCGCCGCTGACCTGGATGAGGACCGTGCTGACGTGGAGCGCGTGAGGGAGGAGCTTCTGGAAGGAATGGCGAAGATGGGCGCGCCTCGGTACACGACGGGCCGCTCCTGCTCCGACACCTGTAGCTGCCACGTCGGCAAGCTATCTGCCAATGGCGCTTCCGTAATACTACCCCCGCTTATAGTACCATTGTACTCGATATAAGCTTTTCCAGAACCGTCTTTCGCCTTCGCAGCAGCTACAGCAGAAGCTACACTTTCCACGTCAGCGACTTTATTGCGGCGCCGGCCGCCGCAGCAGCAGGGGAGGACGAAGAGCAGGAGGAACAACAGCGCGGCGTCAATCCCGAGGGAGAAGAGGAACGGGAGGGACGGCGAACCGAACTGGAACAGGAATGTCATTGTAACGGGGCCAGCGACTGAGCCCACCGCCGCCCACGCGAACAGCATCGCGACCGCGCCGAACAGCAGCTCGCGCCCTCCAAGCGCCGCCGCTGCGGTCTTTGGTGCTTCGGCGGCGGCGGCGGTGGCGGCGCCGGCTTTTCCCTGTTGGGATGATGCAGACGTGACGGATTCCGGTTTTTCCCCTGCGGTGGCGGGCGCAGCGGCTAGCGCGGGAACGAGGTCGGAGGGATGCGGGGAGAGTGCGCCATCTTCCCCCGGAAGCACCTGCGGAAGCTTCTGTGCGGAGGCGGCGGCGGAGGTGGGGGAGGCGTGCGGGGAGGCGCAAGCGGAGGCGGAAGCGGATGCGGAAGGGGAAGGAGAAGGGAGCGCAGAAGGGCTGTGCGCGTGTGTGGCGAATGAAAGCGCGCCGGCGCGCACAAGCTGCGTGCATATACCCTGTAGCATTAGCGCTCCGGCCAGCCACAGCGGCCCTGCGGGATACGCGAGCAGCACGAGCGTCGCGGCGTAGAGCAGCAAAGTGACCGTTAGCCCGCAAAACGCGGTGACGCAGGAGAGCAGCGGGCAGGCGGGCAGCGCGAAGAGAATGGCGGCTGTGGACCGGCCCGCGAGGAGAAGTGTTGAGGACGTTTCGGGCAGGTGGAAAAGTTTGGCGAAGGACGGAAGGAGCGGCGCGATGGAGCTGACGTTGAATTGGTCGAAAAACATTGAGCCTTGGGAGAAGCGGAAGCGTGGGAGGGATGGAAGTAAGGGAGGAGGGAAAGGTGGGGGAGTGGGAGAGGGGAAACGATGAGGCGAAGGTGGGGGAGTGGGAGAGGGGAAGCGATGAGGGGAAGGTGGGGGAAAGCACGGGCGAGCAGGATGCGCGGCGCGATGGAGGTGATGTCGAATTTGTCGAAAACATGGAGCCTAGGGCGGGGGAAAAGGGGAGAGTGTAGGGGGGAAAAGCCTGGCGAGAGGGAAGGCGGAAGAGGGCAGTGGGGAAAGGGAGAGCGTGGCAGTGACGAAGGGGAAAATGGCTGGAAGAGGGGGAAGGTGCTGCAGCAGGGCGCATGGACGGGTCAGACGCGTTCAGATGAATTCTGGTGAGATACTTTGAGAAGTCTACGAAACGCGCAAGAGACACATGCGCTGAGTAGAAGATATTTGAGAGCACAGTAACAAGTATTGCGCCTGCTGGTGGTCGTGGAAGTACTAAGGGGTGTCCCAAACGTGGTACCTGCTAGTAGTCGAAGGAGGCACATGTCTTTACTCGACAGTCCCGCGTTTCTCACGCTCGAGCCGCTCATCGCAACTTCCGCTGCTGCTTCAGCGGGAATCACGGCGGTGGAGCCGTTATCCTTTTGTGAGACTCCATGACTCTCGCATCCCGCATTCGCGGCTGCTTCTCTGGCCGTAGATCCGCTAGCAGACTGAACGGATTCTCTTAGAGTCTCCGCCAATGTCATTTTACCCCAGCAGCCTTTTCACTAGGCAGACTAATCGCCCTTTACAAGTCGAGCAGACCCCCTCGACAGTCGATGACCAAAGCGGAACAACCAATGGGTAGTACGCTTCGCTTTCCTACAGAAAGTGCCTATTTTCTTCCCCGAAGGTTCTCTAAGCAATAAAAAGGCCAAAGTAGTAGGCCGCCCGATTGCTTGCCCTTTCCTGTCAAAGCGTGTCAGGTCGTTTCGAGCATTCCAATCTCCCTACCTAGCAAAGAGTATGAAGTGAAAAAAAAAGAGAATTCGACGGAGCTCAGGTTTCGCAGTCCCCCCCTGCTCGCTCTCTTCCAAGGAACAATGGCTTGCGCAACGAACCTCCGCTGCACTCCTCGATCGTCTAATCTCGCGCGGAATACACGAGGTCAAGAATTCCGCGAAATCTGATTCATGTGGTAGAATCTGCTCGTTTTTGAAGGAAAAGCACGTTCGACTAACACAGCTGCTCAAGAAGCAGTAGAGGCAGCAGCTATAATTGTTTTGCGCCTGGCGGAGGTGCGTTCCGCGTTCTAAATTCCTTCTCCGCTCGTCACGAGTCAAATGACGACGGCTCCAACAGCTATTGGCGAACATATGGGTGCAGAGCGGTACTAGCTGATAGCGGTTTGAAATAATCTGGACATTGCATGCCGTGTGCTGCGGGAGCTCGCATCCATCGTTGAATCGCGTTTTTCCAAGGCAGATCGACGGTGCATGTGCAAAACGACAGACGCGACTCGCAATTATTGAAGTGATAGGAACGCAGGCGAGGTCGTTCTGAAAAAACCCCTGCTATAGAAGTGAGATCCTACTGCGTATTATGCAATGAGATCTCACCCAGTTGATCTCGAAGTATATAGCCACAGTTTCATCAAATATAGAAAAAAAAACTTTTTACTTGGTCATGAGGGTCAATGTAGAATGTACTGGTACCAGAAACAAAAATGAAGCTCATATTGATATTCATTCGAGTGCGTGAATATCCCGGAAACCCCGGCTCCTCAAGTATGCTTGCAGAACAGGGTGGTTTTCAATGTTGGCCAGGGGCACCCAGCTATCTTCAGTTGGTGTGCAGTCCTTCCAGCGAACGAGGAACTCGATCCTCTTGATGCCGGTAGGGAGTCGGATCCGATGGCTCAATATCTTCTCGGGCTCAACGATCGGCTCCGATGCAGGGCGGGTCATGGATGGCAGGCGGTCACGAGGCAGTTGGCTTGTGGTTGGAATGTAAGGCCGAAGTAGGCTGACGTGGAATGATGGGCTGATATACCAATCTGTCGGGAAAAGTGAATGGGCGGTAACTGGGGTGATCATGTGGCTGATTTGGTCCATAGTAGCGCGGTCGAAGTTTTGGCAGTGGCGGTTAGCGTTTCTTTTAGCGATGACATTTGCCTTTCTTATTGCTTCTACAGCTCTGGTGCAGGCAGCTTGTAGAATCTCGGCAAATTGTTGTGCGCGTGACGTTGGGTTGTCCGGGCTCGGCGTCATAGGCACTGTTGGATTTTGCTCGTAGTTCAGGTAAAACGGGGACTGCTGCGTCGTCGCAGACGTGGCATTGTTGTAGGCGAACTCGATCAGCGGCAATTGCTGCTCCCATGTCATCGGGTCGTCGCACGTGGCACGAATCAACTGCTCCATGGTCAGGTTCGTCCGCTCCGTTTGACCGTCGATCTCGGGGTGGTACGGCGAGCTGAACTGTAGCCTGATCCGGAACTGCTCCCAAAGATTCTTCCAGAAGTTGCTGGCAAACTTCGTCTAGCGTTCGCTGATTATCGCGGCTGGTACCGTATCCCGTGCAGCCGAACGACAGTTGCGATTAACAGGCAAGCGGTTTCCTCGGCTGAGATCGATTTCCTGCACTCAGTGAAGTGAGCCATTTTCGTCAGTCTGTCAACGACGACAATAACCGCGCCGTTACCACCAGGGCTCGAAGGTAACCCCGTGATGAAATCCATGGTAACTTGCTGCGAGGCGCGATTGGGCGGCGAAATCGGCTGCAATGGACCCTCCTTTCTTTTTCGCGAGCTCTTCATTACCTGACACGTAGGACATGAGCCCACGTGGTGCTGTACGTTGGTCAACAACACCAGCCAGTAGTAATACCACTACAGCTGCTGTCGCGTTTTTCCTACCCTGAAGTGACCTGAGGTAACTCGTCGTGTGTCTCCTGCAATAACAGTTCCCTCAGTAGTGAGTACGCGGGTACCCAAATGCGGTTGGTGCCTATCTTTATGTAGTATACTCCTTTTGCTTTTGCCAGTTGCTGTGAATTTCCGATCGTGAAAAATGGGTCGGTGCTGTATCCGTGGGTGAATAGGCCTGTTAACAGTGGGTTGGTTTGGGCGGTGTCCGACGCTCCCTTCTTGTACGTGACGCTGTAGTGGAAGTTGGACTCCAAATAGTCCAACCAACGGATTTGCCGTGGATTAAGGCTTGGTTGGGCGCAGAGCTCTTGCAGTGATCTATGGTCTGTCCGTACGCGATTGGCTGAAGGCCGTTCCCAAAGTCCTGCAACAGTACTGCTCCAACGGCAATGTCGCTTGCGTCGGTGACCAGTTCGAACGGGCGGTGTGGATCAGCGATGTGCAGTACGGGCGGCGAGCACAAAATTTTCTTGTGGGCCGAGAATGCAGCTTCCTCTTTCTCCCCCCACATATACTCAACCCTTTTCTTCAGCAGGTCAGTCATTGGGGCGGTCAGCTTCGCCATGTCGGGGACGAACCGGCGTACGTAGTTGACGAACCCCAAAAAACTCTGCAGCTCGATCAAAATTGTCGGCCCGCGCCATGATTGAATCGGCGCGATTTGTTTCGGGTCTATTTCCGCTTCGTCGGCTGAAATATTGTGCCCTAGAAACTCCTGTCTGTCCTGCTGAAACTCACATTTAGAGGCTTTGGTCGGTAGGCGGTTCTCACTCAGTATTTAAAAAACGGCTTCGATGTCCTGTAGGTGCTGTGGTCTGGGCTGTAGTCCTCGTATGCGCAATGGGATTTTACAGCATGCCCGTAATAAGTATGTCGTCTACGTACACTATGACACACTTGTCAAAAAGCGGGCGGAAGGCTTCGTTCATGGTCATTTGGAAGGTTGCGGGGGCGTTGGTCAGTCCGAAGGGCATTACCATTTAATGATTCGCAGCGTGTTTGGAAAGTTGTTTTGGGGCAGTCGAGTGGGTTGACGCGGATCTGGTGGTAACCTCTTCGAAGGCCTATTTCGAAAAAAACTCGGGCTGTGAGCAATTGGTCGATCAGTTTATCGGCTCGCGGAATGGGGTAACGGGACTTAATGGTAACTCGGTTCAGTGCGTGGTAGTCTATGCAGATGCAAAATCCCTCGTCCTTTTTTGGTGTGAATAGTATGGGTGCTGCGAACGGTGACGAGCTCGGGCGAATGAACTCTTTCTCAAGCAGGTAATCCAGCTTCTTCTGCAGTTCGTCAAGTTCGGGTTGGGTCAATCAAAATTGTCACTGTACTGTTGGTTGGTCCCCGGTTCTAGCTCTATCCTGTGGTCGTGCGGTCGCTGGGGTGGCAGTGCCGTTGGCAAGTTGTCCGGGAAAATCCCACTCTACTCCTTCAGTAACACAGCAAAGTCATCCGGTATGTCGGCGAGCAGTTTCTGTAAATCACTCCCTTTGTCTGCCGCTTCGCCTTTTCGAATGTCAACCGCATACACGCCAGCTCCTGCCGCTACGGCGCGTTCGATCGTGATCGCATTGACACGCACCGATGAAGACTCATGCGAGCCCCAACGAGGTAAGGCGATGTTGTTACCGTTTACTCGCACGGTGCAGTCCCCCGTCGTCCGGTCGATTCACGGATTTTGTCGTCGCAGTCAATCACGACTGCGTAACATGTCGGTCCCGTCGAGGATCGTTACGAGCATTCCCGGACTAGATGTAAAGTTACCCCCGCATCGAATAGGAACTCGGTCCACACGTTCCCGTATCGCCAGTGGTGTGCCGTCCACCAGACTTGCATCGATCTCGAGTAAACGCCTATCCACTGCCAGTTTCAGTTTCCTTGACGTGGTGGTGTAGATCAAGCTGTGGCTGGTTCTCCCGTCTACGAAGATTTCAATCAAGTCTGTCCCGATTTTCCCACTAAGCAGTATGGGGCTATCTACCGCGGTACCCTCCTTATTAGGTCGGGTGTGGTCGATTGCATGAACTGGCACAATCACTCGGTGAGGGTCGGTTGGGTCGGGTGAGCAGCGTGACATGTCAATAGAGGGCCTCTCTGCTACTGACTCCCAACTTTTCATTGCTTCTTGGTATGTTTCTGCTGCTCAATTTCCCCCTTTCCCGGGCGTTCGCTTTTGCGGTGTCCCAGCCTGTTGCATGCGAAGCAGCGCCCTTTGAACGGTGCGACAGCGACATTCGCGGCGACAGCGCGTATTGTGGCGTGCTCGTTCGTCCCACGAGGCCGATGTCCCCAGCTACTG